AGGCGCCCGCCACAACGCCCGGCCATTTTTTGGTTGCAGCCGTCATTGTTGTTTGGCGGGCCCAGGCTGGGGATTCGAAACCACCACCTTAGGTGTATGTGGCTGGCACCCTACCTAGCTGCTTGAGCCACAAGCGCTGAGTCTTGTTGAGCATTTTTTATGGGTGAATGTTTCTCTATATTCCTGAGTATTTCTTTTATAAGAGAGCTTGGGAGTACTGGTCTGAGTACAAACGTGTAAGGCTTTCATATGGCTGTGTAGAGTATTGCCTATGTGATATTGTAAACTATATATTTCATCTTCAATCGTGTTTCTGCCATGCAACTTCTAAAATCGTGAGAATCTCCAAATTGTTGTCTTTTTGTATGCTAATGATGACTGATGGCTGGCTAGCCCTTGACAGTTTAAGAATGAGGGCTGGTCTCTGGAAAGATCTGGTCCAGATTAGAGGTTTGGGACTTTCAGCTCAGTCCTCCAACCCCTCTGGAGAGGAGAGGGACTCAAGGTTAAATTCATCAACAGGGGCTTAATCGATCTTATCTACATATCGAAACCTTCATAAGAGGCCCAATGGGACAAGTTTTGAGAGCTTCCGGATAGCTGAACAGGTGGAGGATCCTGAAAGATAGCACCCTCAGGGAGGGCATGAAAGCTCTGGCCCCTTCCCCTATGCCTTTTCCTTTAAAATAAACAGTAAACCAGGTCATGAGAACTGCAACTTGAAGCCAGTTGGTCAGGAGTTCTGAGCCCCACACTTGTAACTGGTGGGATGAAGGGAGAATGTCTTGTGGGATTGAGCCCTCAGCCTGTGGGATCTGACATTGTCTCCATGTACATAGTGTCAGAATTGAATTGGAAGATACCCAACTGGGGTCTGCCCCAGAATTGATTGGTCCCTTTGGTCACAGAGATCTTCACTGTGGATTGTTGTGTTGGTGTGAGAGCAGAGGGAAAAAGTTATTACATGCAACCTGAGAGTGTTTTATTGCTAATTTGATAGCTTTTTTTTTGAGACAGAGTCTCAAGCTGTTACCCTGGGTAGAGTGCTGTGGCATCACAGCTCACAGCAACCTCAAACTCTTGGGCTTAAGTGATTCTCTTGCCTCAGCCTCCCAAGTAGCTGGGA